TGTCACGTGGGGGAAGCCTAGTTATTAAAACGTTCGCTCGTCACGCCTAAGACCCGGGTTCGATTCCCCATATGGATACGCTGTGTAAAGCCCATTGCTATGCGGTCTCGTAGCACCTGCGTTCAATTAGGAGAATTTAATTGACCTAGGTCAACAGAGGTTACGTTTCTGGCAACCAGGGTTGACAAGATTGAGTCTGAGTTACCCAGTGTTAATCAAGCATAACTCAGAGAAGTATCGACATATAACTATAAAATGCAACCTCGACTATAATACAAATGTCTGCCAGGACGCGGAGAAACACAACAGCCATGTGTATTGCTACAAATACAACTATGAGAGGTAGCATTTGTCAAGTGTATCATTGCTTGACAAAGCTGCCATTGTACCTTTTTTTCTATTTAATGCATGTAAACTCCAAGAAAGTTAAAACAAACGCGAACACCAAACAGATGTAAGTTAATCATCAAAGTTGCATTATTGATTCTAAAGTAATTATATCAACAATCGACAGTTAAAATGTCCCTGCCCCGCATATCAGAATACAGGTAAACTAGAAACACCTTGTTAATTAAATTGATTATTCATCAAAATGTTTTTATTCATGATTGAATCATTAAATATAACTAGTTAGCTTTAACGATGACGTCACTTGGTTTGTTTGTCTGACGCCGCACTCAGCAATATTTCAGCTATATGACAGTGGTCTGTAAATCATCGAGTCTGGGCCAGACAATCCAGTGACTGACATCATGAGCATCGATCTCACGCAACTGGGATATGATGACATACATCAACCAAGTCAGCGAGCCTCACCACCCGATCCTGTTAGTCGCCTCTTACGACAAGCTGACTTCAACGAAGTACGACGCAAATCGCTCAACCAAGGCTAACTTGGTTTTTCATTTTTACCTTAGTCAACATAGGACACCAAGGTCGTCCAGGGTTTTGAAATAACACGCAATCAGTGAATCGAGGTTAGTTTTAGTCAGACAATGAACTGGCGTCGTACATGACTCCCGGAAGTCAAATGAGCGCCGACTCCGTGCATGTACTTTGTGCGAACCTTACCATTGCTTGACATTGAAGCAGTGTGTAGAGTAAAGAAAACTGGTCCGTTAAAGTGAAGTTTTTGGTCAGCCCGGCCAAGTCGGACCGAATACAGACCTAACACTTCTGACAGAGACTATGTTGAGTATGTAGAGGGAAAAGGGCTTCACTGCAACGGACCAGTTTCCTTTAAATGCGATGTACTGTGACATTATAAAGTGGTATATAGATGGACATAATATTATTCTATATATGTAAAGACATTTGATGATACACATGGGAGGTTTACGTTGATTTTGACAACTCGTGCCAACTCGGACCGAACACGCGTGAGACTGTTGAGTCTATGGGGAGAAGAGCTTCACTCTAACCAACGTGTCTGCTTTAAGTACATGGACAGTGAGACTGTTGTGTCTATGGGTAGAAGAGCTTCACTCTAACCAACGTGTCTGCTTTAAATACATGGACAGTGAGACTGTTGAATCTATGGGGAGAAGAGCTTCACTCTAACCAACGTGTCTGCTTTAAATACATGGACAGTGAGACTGTTGTGTCTATGGGGAGAAGAGCTTCACTCTAACCAACGTGTCTGCTTTAAATACATGGACAGTGAGACTGTTGTGTCTATGGGGAGAAGAGCTTCACTCTAACCAACGTGTCTGCTTTAAATACATGGACAGTGAGACTGTTGAGTCTATGGGGAGAAGAGCTTCACTCTAACCAACGTGTCTGCTTTAAATACATGGACAGTGAGACTGTTGAGTCTATGGGGAGAAGAGCTTCACTCTAACCAACGTGTCTGCTTTAAGTACACGGACAGTGAGACTGTTGAATCTATGGGGAGAAGAGCTTCACTCTAACCAACGTGTCTGCTTTAAATACATGGACAGTGAGACTGTTGAGTCTATGGGGAGAAGAGCTTCACTCTAACCAACGTGTCTGCTTTAAGTACACGGACAGTGAGACTGTTGAATCTATGGGGAGAAGAGCTTCACTCTAACCAACGTGTCTGTTTAAGTACATGGACAGGGACATAACAAAGTGGTATAACTTAGATATAGTACTATTCTATAGATGTAAATGCTATGCCGACAGATGGAAATTTGTATCACGATAGTTGGAAGTATTTGATACTTTTCAAATCCTATTTCGTTTAACGATTCCAGCTTAACATGTAATAACCTAACCAAGCCACGCTCACAGACAGCTCGACTTCATGATTTTCAAACGATTTGATCGCAACAACTTAATTGTGCTGCCCGTTTTTGGTTTGTGATTGTTCATTGATGTTATGTGTGTATGTTGCATCAATAATATGTAGGTATGGTCGCCGATAATGAAGTAATTAGCCAAAAATAACATTGGGCCGTCCCGGCCCTACTTTTAGGCACTCCCGTTATAAATAGCGAATGTACAGAAAAGCGCCCGTGTGCTTTCAGACATGATGGAGAGACGTCTCTTTGGGCATCACTCATTTCTCCGTTAATTGCCATGATATAAACTGAGAAGGTGTTCAAAGCAAATTTCAAAGTGTACAATACTCATTCACTCGCACACGTACGGTAATGACGTCATGGGTTATGGCTCTAATACTACAGTATTGTTTGCGTTCTGGCTACGCGGTCCCCAATTCATTTACCTCCTCCTTTTGGCCAGCGTTTTCACCACCCTTCATAACTAAATATAAGCCACAAAGTTCGCCCAACGTTAAATCAGTGACAGAGTGACATGGGGTTCACGCCCCTTGGGACAGCACTGATATATCAAGGGGTGGCAGCTACCGTGGGGTATACAGAAAGAAATGAGGCAAGTCACATCGGTGAAACTTGGATCCTGTTACGCCTATGGGACGTAACTCTACATAGTGAATTGAACTGTACTAAGGTTCAAATATGTATTTGAATATTGAATCTTATACATCGGCTTATTAAGTTATGCATTGATATTAATTAAGATGTCTAATATATTTTGATTTTCATCGTATATGTATTACTGTTTAACACCAAAATTAGGATCAGGGAGTTACAATGGCCGTTAAATGATGATTTATTTGTAATTTGTTTGTTGTTTAACGCCGCACTCAGCAATATTCCAGCTATATGACGGCGGTCTGTAAATAATCGAGTCTGGACCAGACAATCCAGTGATTAATATCATGAGCATCGATCCATGCAATTGGGATCGATGACATGCATCAACCAAGTCAGCGAGCCTGACCACCCGATCCCGTTAGTCGCCTTTTACGACCATCATAGTCACCTTTTACGGCAAGCATGGGTTGCTGAAGATCTATTCTACCGTTAAATGTTGAGTGCAGGGTACGCCTTGTCATGTCCTGTTATATACCAGTACCAAAAGTAACCAGTGCCGATTGTGATAGTATGACGTCAAATCCTACAACAACGACTTATGCTACCCACTGCCGGCACCATCCTTGAGCAATAACATCAACCCCCGTGTCCAAGATTCCCTTTACATTTGGTCCTGGTCGTGAAATAAAAGCGACAAAACCCTTTCAATAATTAAGAGAAACATCTCTGGTACATCGTACGTTGCCGACCGACAGGCATACACACATAAATCACTATTACTGGCAGTGATGACCCCAGATGTTCGCGAAAAGAGATGCCTGTATTTTCATCAACCTTAAATATATGGTATCTTCATTGCATATGAAAGTAACGAAATATCCTAATCGCCTTTTATATACATACGCGACACTTGTTAAATCATATATTATTATGATACTGTTTATTTATTTGGGTAGTAAATTGTGTTTAATTGAAATTACAATTGAATACGTTTTCTTGCTATTATTAACATAATCTTCCAACATATGGCGGTATGAATGATAAGCGTCAGTGACACAGACGATATAAAAACATTTCTCAAAATCCGTGATGACGTCTATGTTCAGATTAATTCTGTGCTCTAAGTGCCGTTTCTATCTTGTAGTTCTTCACTGTTTTTACAAGCAATCAAAGAAATATCAAAGCAGCATGTGTTAACTTTTTTAAGGACACTTTTGATCAGTGCAGCTGCACGGGATTTAGGACAATGGCAGGTGCTCGTGACTTCAAGGTTTGTTTACGTAAGCTGATCAGTTGGGTATACCATTACACGTCGCATCCCCTGAATGACAAGGACAGTGTGGAGACATACGGGCGCCGGTATTAGAATCTGTACACCGCGAACCACAGCTTCACCGCACCAACAGGGAAATTATGCGTATCACTTGATTTGGAGGCCAGCCGCTTTGTGATTGGATGTTCAGTAATACTAGAATTTGGGAGCAGCTAAGACGTCCTCTAAAACATTGATTTTAAGCTGAAAAATGACGTCACATTGTCGACGCTTTCTTAACGCTCACCAACTAATCAACTTTAATGTATTTTCAACGAAATTTCGCCCAATGGCCATATCCGACAAATCAACGTTTTCTTAGTTGAATTTGGTTAATCTGGGCGATTCCATTGACACAAAATGCCTGGAGTAACGGTGTTCAATCGCAATAAAAAAAATCGAATATTATGACTTTTCTAAAATAGATCGCTTTCCCGGTTCCGTGTATGTTAACGTACAGTACCATTTCCACTTTTTGATTGTTATTATTTTGCATTAAACAACATTCATTGCAATAAAGACAATTTGTCAATGACCAATCTGAAAACGAATAACACTATCAGGTCTCATGCACAACTCAACACAACACAACACAACTCATATATAGTACTAAAAGGAAGTTATAGAACACCGGATTATTTCATACTACTATAGTAGTTAATTTTTCACGATAGATTAACCATAGCAACACGAATCGGTTGTCCTTTAACGTCTTTTGATAAATATATGTCGTCAAATAACATGTGAAGCACGATCAATGTCATGCACTTTCACGTGTCTGTGAACGACACCAAACTTTGCTGAAACTATCTACAAAATACACTTACCTCTCTTTCTATACTCCTCGAAGTCCATGGCGATCCTAGGAAATCCTAATAGATTGTCGAATAAAACTTGTTAACCTCCTCAGATTTCTCAGTTAAACTTTTCAATTAGAAAAAAGCTATAATCTTGGTATGGCGCTGTTTTACAAACTCAAGACAATCTACACCGCGATGGGAGATGGACCAGGACGATGATGCGTTGTATTTACGTTGTTCTAAGTTTCCAAGTTCCCGGAGCACTTCGTCTACAAGGAAGCGTGGTCTTATACAGCCAGGAGATGGAGAGGCTAACACCGCTAGCGAGAACTAATCGATAAATACTGCAGATGAGCTTCGCTGTCCGTGATCTATATAGTTCTCTTTCTACACACACACATATATGGATTGATATTGTCAGGTATTCGCCAGTACTAACGCCTGGCAGTGGATTTACAAACGGCAGGAATTGTTACAAAACTCGGACAGTTTTATACCTTCAGAGCCTAGCGTCAGCTATTTCGAGCATTTTCATTGGTCAGTAGTCATGGGGGTGGCCGTATAAATAAGTAACAGTCAATTTAGCCCAACTCATTGGCTGTGGCCTCTCGGTTCACCACTCCCGGAAATGTTCACGTTTATTTATAAAAAAGGTTCTTTAACGTCTTTTTTTTAATTGGAGGGGATCGATAGAGATGGATGTGCGTTGTGTTGCATACAATTCGGAGAGCAATGTCTATGAATACAAGACAGTGAGTGATTTGGTATATATGCCCTGTTAAATGTAATCTCCCGCAAAGCATGGGTTGTTGGTAACCTACTCCACCACGAATCCCAATGGGACGACACTAAAGTGGAGATATTCTACTACATTATTAAATACAGAGCATTTTATGTTATAGACATCTTACAGCACAGTTGCCAATCTCGTCGCCCCAAGCAATCAACTATGTTGGTTGGTTGGTTGGTTTGTTGTTTAACGCTGCTCTCAGCAAAATTCCAGCTATATGACGGCGGTCTGTAAATAATCGAGTCTGGACCAGACAATCCAGTGATTAATATCATGAGCATCGATCCACGCAATTGGGATCGATTACATGCATCAACCAAGTCAGCGAGCCTGACCACCCGATCCCGTCAGTCGCCTTTTTACGACAAGTATGGGTTGCTGAAGACCTATTCTACCCCGGATCTTCACGGGTCAATTAACTATGTAAAACGCTGGGGTAATCTAGTGGTTAATAATGTTCCCTTGTCACTACAAAGGCATGTGGTCAGAGAAAACGTTTAAGGTTACATGGAAGTCACATGGATGTTACATGAAAGTTGCAGGAAGATTGCAATAGTTGAAGTTGTAATGTTGTAATGATGTAAATGTTGTCCATTGATAAACTCTCCTGTAAACTGATGTCTCAGAAGAACATTACAACATGTGTTGATTGTTTGTTTGTTTGTTGTCGCACTCAGCAATATTACAGCTATATGACGGCGGTCTTTAAATAATCAAGTGATTAATATCATGAGCATCAATCCGCGCAATTGGGATCGATTGCATGCATCAACCAAGTCAGCGAGCCTGACCACCCGATCCCGTTAGTCGCCTCTCACTGCAAGCATAGTCGCCTTTTACGGCAAGCATGGTTTGCTGAAGACCTATTCTATGTGTTGAGTTCAAGATTCAGCTGGCCTGAAAATTTATGAAGGAGTAAGCAATATACTCCGAAACGTTGTGTTTCGTCATAAAAAAGGCGTTGACATCCATACATTCTCTTCCTTATGTGTATCACTTCTAAATGCCATTCAAAGATTTAATTATTATGTTCCTGTGTATATGGCTTTAAGCTTGGATCAACAATTTCACATTTAAGAAAACAACTGTGTTGATGTTTGTTTGTTGTAGAACGCCGCACACTACCAAAGGAGAATTTTTTTTTGAGTAACAAAGCAATAAGCTGGTTATTGCTGGGAACAACCCAAAGTTAGTTTTGCAAACTTTAAAAGAAATTTTGATGAGCCTCAAGAATATCGAATGTTGTTATCCCAGACCAGTGGCTTGAGCATTTTCAAAGTCCTCTCAGTATTGAGAAACACGTTGATTGTGATTATAACTCTCTGATAACAGATACTCATGATGATGATCCAGATTAGTCTCACGCAGACATATGTGGTGATCTTAACATGCCTTTCACTGAGGAGGAAGTCCTTATGAATTTGCACAATTTAAAAAAGTAATAAATATTCCGGGCCTAACGGTATTGTAAATGTGTTTATTAAATCAACAAAACAATATATTGCACCTTTGTTTAAAAAATACTACTCAACGGAATACTACACACTGCATTTTTCCAGAGGTGTGGGGAAAGAGCTTATTTGTCTCATATTCAAGGGAGGTAATAAGAATGAACCAGATAATTACAGGGGAATATCTCTCACGGAATGATACTTTATGTAAGGCATTGACTCATACAATAACAACATCTGAAGTGAAGCACAAGCAGGTTATAGACCAGGATATTCCACCACAGACCAAAACTGGACTCTTCAAGCAGCTGTACAGAAAAACATCTCAAAGACCAAGGGTAGATTTTACTGCAACTTTATTGACTTTTCGAAGGCTTTCGCCAGAGTAAACCAAACAATTATTTTGAAAAGCTTAAATCGAGTGCTAAAAAATGTGAACTTTCTACGATCACTAGCATCAATGTACTCGAACGTATCACTATTTGTGCGAATGAAGGTGGCCTTTCTGATGATTTCACCTGCAATGTCGGCACCCGTCAGGTATGTTCTTGTTGTTGTTAGGTATGTTGTTGTTGTTGTTGTTGTTTCGGCACCCGTCAGGTATGTTGTTGTTGTTCGTTGTTTAACGCCGCACTCAGCAATATTCCAGCAATATGACGGCGGTCTGTAAATAATCGAGTGTGGACCAGACAATCCAGTGATTGACATCATGAGCATCGATCCACGCGATTGGCGAGCCTGACCAACCGATCCCGTTTTTTACGACAAGCATAGTCGCCTTTTACAGTAAGCATGGGTTGCTGTAGACCTATTCTACCCCGGATCTTCACTGGTCAACAAATGATACGTATCGCGATATGGTTTTCATGTATCGGTATTTTGTGCATATTCTTTTGTTAGTGAAATACAACTTTCAATAGACATCGAATTATAATATGAACGATCAAGACGATATCGTAACATACAACAACAAAAATAAAAAACAAACGTCGGGCAAGTGTTAGAGCAGTGATTACTTCCCTTTGCGCCGTGTCTATGGAAACAAAAAGGCGGACGAGTTTAAGATAGTTGCGAACAAGGGGAAAAGTATGATATTTGGAGGGGCTTTTTTACCTGAAAAAGGTAAAAAACAGTCGCCAGATCCCGTTGGTCGCCTCTAACGACAAGCAAAGTCGCCTTTTAAGACACGATCTATTCTACCCGGGATCTTCACAGGTGAAATGTATTATGTCAAGGAAACACATGTCGTGTATTACATGATGGCTGGGCCCTGGAATGTTAAAACGTTACATCACGAGGGCAAAACGTTAAAGTGTTTTATGATACACGAGAGTTGGGACAAACCAAAACATGCGGTTTGAAATCATGTGGTTGGTTGGTTGGTTGGTTGTTTAACGCCGCACTCAGCAATATTACAGCTATATGACGGAGGTCTGTAAATAATCGAGTCTGGACCAGACAATCCAGTGATTGATATCATGAGCATCGATCCACGCAATTGGGATCGATGACATGCATCAAACCAAGTCAGCGAGCCTGACCACCCGATCCCGTTAGTCGCCTTTTACGACAAGCATAGTCGCCTTTTACGGCAAGCATGGGTTGCTGAAGACCTATTCTACCCCGGAATCTTCACGGGTCGTTAATTAAGTGACATAATAATGCATAAATAAATGTATAGAAGGTGAGGATGAAACGTTCGGGACTGATTGTACTCAACAGCTTTCGTGTGCAAATGCTTCGTACAAGAATACGATATTGCATAGACACTGCAAAGTTGTTAGACTATTTCAGCTGTTGACTGACGAATAAGAAGTGCTCTTCATCCTATGCACATCCTTCCATGTATACGTACAAGTTTAAATATACTACCCGTCTACAGCATTACAACTTGAGAACAGAGAAGCCAAGTGTTACTTGTTTTGTCTGTTTGTCTGTTGTTTTACGCCGCACTCAGAAATAGGAAGCAAATTATAGTACTTATAGTAATGAGTAAGTAAGTGAGTATGGTTTTATGCTGCTCTTAGCAATATTCCAGCAATGTCATGGCGTGGGGACACCAGAAATGGGCTTCACACATTGTACCCATGTCGGGAATCGAAGTGTAGTGTACGTAAGTTACAAAACAATGCCCACCTGACATATAATTTATACACAATGTTTTAATTAATTTCAACAGATTTTTGTCAACAATAACATAATTAATACGCCCATGGATAATGCTTTGTTGCACGTTCATTGTTTTGTTTCCATTGTTACATTATATATACAGTAATAGAAGGTTTTGGAAATGGGATTCCTCTAGACAAGTACTAACATAACAACTGTTGTTAATCAAAACGGAGAGTGTCATTTTGAAAAACAGTGACTGCTAATTTCTTCTCTTATTTTCCAATTTAATTCATTTTCATTTTTACAGTTCTTCGAAACTGTTTAGACGAACGTAAACGTGATTACAAAATAATGAGTCTGTTGAATGTTACCCTGTGAGATCTGTCACATCTATCACTAGTTTGATGCTTTCTCCATGTTCAGTCTTATCAAATACATTTTCCTTCAATTCCATCCTCCCTGCATGCAAAATGTACATATACTTTGTGAGATCTGCATGTAATCCATACAATAAGTAAACCTCCATTCGTTAAAATATTGATGGATGTGGGTAATTGTCCCTCTGTTGATTGTGGGAATATGTCTGTTCGACTCCATCATACACGATGAATGACAAAGGCATTGAAATAAAAAGATACGTTAGTTCATTTCACGGAGTAACAAATAGGCAGCAACATAATGAAATAATAAAGTATTTGTGTGGGGTCGTACCGGCATTAACGTCATGTTGATATGGGGTTTCGGCCACCATGTGTTTGGCAAAAAAATTTCGTCGAAAATAATAGAGGGTTGGAAAAATAGAGTGACGTTATAAGAATTATTTATGTCGGTATATATAGTGGTGAAGCAACATTTAAGTGTAATGCTTTCAATTCAAAGTGTGTTATGCTACTATCGTTTGAATGAATCTAAATGTTACCGTGTAGGAAGGTGTTGAAATCTTTCCCCTTGTCAAACGTATACAAATTTATCTTTACCCGCAGGGCTTTATGTATTAATATTCATATATTTTGGACCCGTGAAGATCCGGGGTAGAATAGGTCTTCAGCAACTCATGCTTGCCGTAAAAGGCGACTAACGGGATCGCATGGTCAGGCTCGCTGACTTGTTTGATGCATGTCATTGATCCCAGTTGCGTGGATCGATGCTCATGATGTCAATCACTGGATTTTCTGGTCCAGACTCGATTCTTTACAGACCGCCGTCATACAGCTGGAATATTGCTGAGTGCGGCGTTAAACAACAAACAAAACTTATAATGTTCAGTCACGTCTGTAGGTTTGTTGACTTAAAGGGGCACTGATCTAAAGCAATTACCCGGGATTGGTTGTTGTCTTTGTTATTGTTTTTTTTCCCGTGAGTACCCGGATGATACGCAACGCAACTGAGCGTGACCAGAGACAGCTACCGTCTGCAAGGAAAGCTAAATAAACTTGGAGGCAATATTTATTTCACTCATTTTTTAACACTGATTGGTTAACCGTGATCTATAAAGATTTCGACAAAGGGCGCATGTTAATTTAATTTCTTCAGCCTAAACAAACAGACAAAAAGAACGGCGGGGCTCATCGGATGTCATTTGGAAATACCCGTGATTGTTATAGTTTAATAATAAAAAAG